TGTTTCTTGGTAGTAACCATACATTTATGTTATTGAAATGTCCTAGTGTACCTTAGTATTCCCCACTAATTAACATTTACTTGACATGGGAACACATCCTCTCCTGTTGCAGTAATTCTCTTGGATTTAGGAAAATGCCGTTATCCCAATATCCAAGAACTATTATAACTTTGTATAGGATCAAGCATTCCCAAAGTTCAAATCTCAGGCAGGAGTAGGTACCCAGGCTCAGAAAAGCCAATGCGTGCTGCACACTACAGTTGTCCAATTGCATGAATTTTGAGGTGCTGACACACTATACTGTAATGTACAACAATTTATCGCCATTGTATTAATACAGCACTGCAGGCAACAAGCAACAGGGAAAATTACAAGCACTTAAAAAAATCAAGAAAGGACCCTAGGAGAAGTAAGAAATCGTAAAGCACTAAGAAGGGGAAGTAAACTGATCATGCACCTTATGTTAGTGGCATTCTCAAGTATCATGTGAATAAACAGGATGCTGGATACCTATGTTTCCGAGAGCTGTATATCCTGAAGAGCTTCTGTTTATTACTACAAAGCTTACTAGGAGTGAGGGGAAATAGAGGATTGTATTACTAAGCATTCCGATACTAGGAAAGGAGTTAGGTTTTTGAAATAAGCCAAGCCAGTCTCCAGATCACTGACAATTCTTTTTTTTCTCACAGTGGTGGAGGCAAAGATAATAAAGGTAATCATATAATTTTAAATGTGCTATGAGTTACAAATCTGATATGGTATATGGAGACTTCAAAATCTAATACATTTAAAAGAACCATCAAAACGGTGGCAGTAGTAATAGGTCTTTTCTTGAACTCCTGTGCCTGCAAAACTATAATGGACTATAATGGAGAGTACTGTTAGAGAAATAAATGCAGGATTGGGCCCACTATTTGGTATATCTAGTTAAAATAATTATAAAAACCCATGCTACTTGGGCGCAATTTATTCCCCTGCAGAGAGAATCAGCACAAGGCCTATGTACAACTTGAGGATCCAGTAAGATCTGAATATAGGGCTTAAGTGAAATGATCTTTAATGACCTTGTGCTACAGGGGTGAATTTCACTCATGATGAATAAAATGCAGTGTACAGGAATTCAGATTTAAAATGGCTTGCAGAACACTAGCGCTGATTTATAGAATAATCTATTTTACATCAAAGAAAATACTAGATAGTCTAATTTTATAAATGAGAAAAAACAAAATTGCACTTATATATAATATTTAAAAATACTAAATATAAACTTTTCTGCATTTCCTCAACAAAATTAATATTCATGTATAGCTCAAAGGATCAGTTCTATCTCCGAAATACAGTGACAGCTTAGCCACACACTGAAAGGTTCTAGGTTCAAAAAGGAGTTAATGAAGGAAAATGTTATTACATGTCCAAAATTAATTTTTATAAAGGAGAAATTAAAATAACTTTCAAATAAGCTGATTTTTGTTTGTTTTATTAAAACAGAATTAAGAAGATGAGCACATTCACAAAGCAATGTACTGCAAATACAAACACATTTTAATATAAAGACACCATTTATTTAGTCCACATGGCATCGTATGCAAGTCACTCAACATCACAAAAAGTTAAAGACTAGAGGGTAGTTAAGAAAGTGCATTGCAGCACATTGCAATTACGTATTTAATGCAAAAGACCACATTCATTACATAAATTTCAACTGATGTAAATATACAGTCATACAACATTGTAAGAACTATTAAGAGCCACTGACAATAACACAGTACTTCACTGAAAAAGACATGGAAAGGTCAGCAGTGTTTATACCAGTGGTGAATAATCTGCAGCCTGGGGGTGACATGCAGCCCACTGAGGTTTCATCTGCAGCCCATGAATTCCCTGTCTACGCTCCTCCTCCATGCACCTCTCGCACACTGGGGCACAGAAGTCCTTCACTCCTATTCCTCCTCCTCCTCCCCCCTCCCAGCACTTTCGAGGTGCCACAAATTCACTGATTTACACTCTGTCCCTGCTCCTCCCCCTTCTTCTCAGAGCTGGAATGCCACAAATCAGCTGTTTAAGCTCTGGCAGGGAGGGGGAGGAGCTAGGACAGAGTGTGAATCAGGTGATTTGTGCGCTCCAAAAATGCTGAGAGGGAAGGGGAGGAGTTGGAAGTCCAGGGCTCCAGTGCCCCAGCATGTGGCTATGTCTACACTACGGAGTTTTTGCAGAAAAACAGCTGTTTTTCTGCAAAACTCATGGAGCGTCCACACCTCAAGAGTGTTTTTGTGCAAGAGAATCGAAAGAACAGAGGGGTTTTTGCAATTGCTATTCCTCTTTCTATGAGGAAGAAGCCTTTTTGCAAAAGAGTTCTTTCACAAAAAGGCGTGTGTAGACAGGGAAGAAAAGGTTTTTGTGCAGAAAAAGGAAAAAGCACAGGTGCCCTGGTGGCCATTCTGTGCATACCAATCAGTACTTGCTTTCGAGAGTGCGTCCATGCAGTCTGGATGCTCTCTTTCGCAAAAGCGCATCACTTTTTTAATGCGCTTTTGCAGTATGGATGCACTCGTGCACAGGAAGTTTTTGCGGAGGATCTCTTCTGACAAAAGCTTCTTGCACAAAAAGCCTGCAGTCTAGACGTAGCCTGTGAGAAGCGCATGGGGGAGCGGGGCATACAGGGAACTCACCAGCTTCAGAAGCGCATGGGGGAGTGGGGCATACAGGGAACTCACCAGCTTCAGATGGAGCCACAGCAGTTCCTGGGTTGCTGCGGCCCATTGAGATGAAGGAGGGCCATTCATGTGGCCCACTCACTGTTCTTGGTTGGCCCAAAATAAAAGTTAAAAATTAAAAATGAATGATAATCTTTAAAACTTTTCAATTGTATTTCTTTTTCCTTGGAAAACTCATTTTTAATGTGCTATTATGTACACGTTGTTACCATGTCTTTTTATGCTATGCAAAAAAGTGCTTTTTGATACCTACTCAATATACAGCAGTAACAGAAAATAGTGGTTGAGATTTTCAGAAGATATGACCACACATCTTCCATTAGTATTAAGTCAATGAAAAATCATTGATGATATATGGTTAAATCCCCTAGACTACTTTAAAAATGTGAACTATTATCTTTATCATAGTATAGACAATCATCTTGATGAGCAGGGATTTATAAGTATAACTTCTATTTACAATAAAAGGAACTGTGTTTAAATGCACCCCCCTCTTTTGTCTAAATCATTCTTTTTGAGAAAATAATGCAAGGGGATAAGTAATGACAAATCATACCTACAAATACTTTTTTTATAAAATCTGAAATCAGTTTTTGAACACTGTTGCTAAAAAGAAAAATGATGTCTGAACAGTGCTTGAAAAGTTTTGATCAAACGTTATACAGTTCAGTACATTTTTACAAATAAATTGCTTGCCGGCTCAATGGGGTAATATATTTATATGTAAGAAAAGACACACGTTTGGCCACAATCTCATGCTGGTTATGTGTGAAAGACAGAATAAGTTAAGTGGATGTAATGGATATCTTAGAATGGATCCAGTAACCTCAAGAGGTTTGTGTGTAATGTTAATAGGAGTTACATGCACAGCATGAGACAAATCAGAATAATGTAGCTTCAAAATCAGGAAGAAAAAGTGGCAACTAGGGAGATGGCAAGCTCATGTAAATAACTTCACGTAACTTTCATGTTTTAGACTGTTGGGCAAAGATGAAAGTAAGCCAGTGTGCCCTGTGGTGGTGCACCAGTAAGAGTCTGGCCAGCTGGGGGAAGGATTCTGGCTGCTGCTGATGTAGCAGCCAAAATCACTTGTGCTGCTATACCCAGGGGACGTGACCACACTGCACCCAGACTGTAGCCCTGGTGCTCGGGCATCCAGGCAGCACAGTCGCAGCACCCTGCCCAGCCTCGGGCCCCAGCAGACAGTGAGGTAGCTGCGCTCCCTGCCTTTAGCTCTCTGTCCCTGATCCCATTCCCTGAACCCCCCCCCCACTCCACAAATCCCTGCCCTGACTCCTGCACACCTACATAACCCAACCCCCTGACCTGAGCTCCACCTCCCACTGCCTTGAGCTCCCCCACACCTACACACACCAAACCCTCTGCCCTGAGCACCCCATACTTCATCCCACACTTATGTTTCTTATAGGTACTGTTGTACTGCAACCCCTGATGTTGGGATGTCAAAACTCCTCAAATGTGTCTCCACAGCCCATAAGTAGGACTGTAATATATCCCACATACATTTGGGGTTGGTTTGGCTCTGGGCTATATTTTATTTCTTTAAAAAAAACTTTTGGGGTATCACCCGAAGGGGGTGAAATAAGCTCCACCAGGGCTTCTTTAACCATTCTTGTGCTGGAGAACTGACTCCTGAACACCCCATTTCTAGTTTTTGGGGTGATGTCCAGCCACCTGGTCCCTTTGTCATTCTCCTCTCTGGATCTGTCAGTAAGGGGAAGACCAATATTTACAGGCTATGTCTGCTGTGTCTTCAACTGACTGACATTCAACTGAGCCAAGGGAAGGTCCCTCCTTTGGGTTAGAATGATGATGTATTCTCTGAAATTAGAAGGCCAGATTCAAAGACAACTACAGATACAACTACAACCTCCACCAAAATCAATGAGAGTTGTGGCAATCTATGTTTTGGCAGAATCTGGCCCATAGACTGGAGAGAATGCCTAAGTCATTATTCTGCAGTTATTGGAGCTGGGGCCATCACTCAGAGTAAGTGGTGCTTTGTGGCTATAAAGATTATAAGTCCTCTAGATTTTCCCATGGGAAACCAGAAACAAAAGGGCAAATTTTTGCTAAATTAGGCTGCTAATATAGGTCAAATAAAATGAGATTTCAGAAAATAGTAATAAAAGTTTACAGAAATTATTTTCCAATTATCACAACTTCATGTTAGCCAATCTATCTTGAACCAACTATACAAACGACATTCAAAAACCCATTATAAAATTTGGATATTTAAAAGTAACAAATTGAAAAACCACAAACCTGCTAGAAGCTTCCCCTTGTTCTTTCCTTCAGGTGTGAGAGTATGGGGGGAGGAAAAAACAAATTTGTTATGCAGATAGTAATTGTTAGTACTCAGTTAAAGATGGTGTTAGATAAATGCTAAACTGTAAATGGATGTGTTAATTAAATTAATTTGAAACATACAGGTTATAGTGCAAGCACAAAAGGTTCAAGCAACATTCAGAACTATAATATTTCTGAAAAATAAACTTCTCGTCACCTTAATACATGCATAACGTGCTTAATACATACCAATGCAACTGAGTTGGCAAAGCACTTAGGCAAAATGCATTGGTGACACATATATAACAGAAAGCGTAGACTTTTTATTTTATAAAGTTATCTGCAGTAATGAAATATGTTTGATGTAATTAGGACTGGGATATCACAGCAATGGATTTATTTAAAATAATAATTATGTTGTTTTATTTTTCTTGGCTTATAATTGTATTCTAGACTATTTCAGACAAGATAGAGCTTATTTATATAGCTTCATATTCGTTCATTTATTTATTTGTCTGAAACAATATTTCACATTTATTAAAATCAGTATTTTTGAACTCGGTGATAACTTTTAATCTGAAAGCTACTTTTAGTTTGAAGCATTTAGGATAAATACTTGTGGTAATGGATCACTTATGGTTCCGCTCTTCTGAACTCTTTGAAATTGACAGATTAGCTTTCTGTAGCAAGCCAACACTTTTTGGCTAAATTTATCTGGCACATAATCTTCTTTTTAGTGTTGTGTGGGTGTTCCATCATGTTTGAGATGAACAGCTGGTCTTTTGCATTGGCCATAATAACAATATCTATAATAATAATAATAATAATAATAATAATATTTAGGACTTCTATTGCACCTTTCATGCAAGGCTGTCGTGTTTTTTTCAAAGAGGTAATTAGTACTCTTTATTCCAAGGTATATACCCCAAATTTGGGGCAATTGGCCTACTGCCTTGGGTTAAATTTTTAAGAACTTAATAATCTTGGACCATTCCTCTTAAAAGGTGAATTTCTGCTAAAGCACTGAGAATTTTCATTCAAACTGTCACCTCAATGTACTCTCTATTGGCCAAATTTGACATTAGAGGCACATGGTTTTATTGTATTGTTTACAAGCACATAATATTCCTTAACCAAATTCTTAGTTTATCTGAACTTATGACTTAAAAGCTGCATTCCCTAAGAGGTGGAATGTCATAAAGTTCTTTGCCATTTTGGAAGCATAGATGTTTCTAAAGCCTCATAGTACGACGTAGTCTAATACTGCCCATGGGTATGTCTACACTACAGCGTTCATTCGAATTATCTTAATTCAAAATAGTTCATTTGAATTAAGCAAATTCGAATTAACGCATCTACACACAAAATGCAGTTCGAATTAGCACTTTGCTAATTCGAAATACTGCATCCACACTGACTGGACACAGAATTGGATTTAAAGCCAGCCAGAACCAGGTCAGACAGGGCATCAGGTCAGGAGTGTCTGTGTGCGTGGCTACTGCTTGAGGCTATCTGACACCCGTGCTTAAAGGGACACCCCCCCATCCCCCGGGCAGCCAGTTCTCAGGTGTTCCTGCTTGCCTGCCTGCCTCGATGAAGGACAGCAAAGCATGTGTGTCTCTGCGTGCTCTGGTTGCCCTCACTCGGGACACCACAGCACTCTGCAACACGGAGCTGGAGCTGCCCCTGAGCACTCTGGTGCTTCTCGTGGATGCGTTGCTTCGAGCCTGGCTGCACTTTCTGCAGGCTGCCATCCTGGAGGTCCATCGGGGGGCTGTCAGTATCCAGGAGGCCCTTCGGGAGAGCTTCCACCTTGAGGAGCACTAAGAGCCTCCCTGGTGTGCCCCACTGGAGGCTTGTGCCTCATTCCTCCCGCCTTCCACTTACCCCTACCTAAGTCCACTTCCTGATGTCAAATAAAAACACATTTCTTGCCAAAAAAACCCCTCTCTTTATTGACCGAAACTGGGGTGGGAATGAGGGTGGGAGAGGGGAGGTGGAAACCTGGGAGGAGGGAGCTGGAAGGGGGAGGCAAGGAGAGGAAGGGGGAGGAGAAGCTTAGGGTTGGGGGTCTTGCCGGACCAACTTGATTTTTATGCAAACCTGCTCCTGGGTTCGCATGTAGCCTTTGGTGGCCAGGCTGGCAGCTTTCCTGCCATAGACGGCTGTGTTCCTCTGTCTAGTGCAGAGATCATGGACTTTGGGGGCATCCCCCCAAACCTGAGTGTGCTCCACCCTGATCTCCGCCCTGGACAAGGAAGGCACCTGTCTTCTCCAGGCCCTGGCAGGCTCCTGGGAGCTGGCAGACTGCTTTTGGGGTGCAGTGGAGGACTTGCTGACAGTGGCTTGCTGGCTCATGTTTTGGGGCCACTGGGTTGGGGAAGTGATTGCTGGGCCGGCAGGCTTGGAGCTGGCACAGGCACTGTGGCCAGAATCTGCACCTTTAAGGGCTCTGGGGCTGGGGGGAGGGAGAAGAGTTTTCCTGTGTAACGGGGACACTCCAGCTCCCCGCTACGAAGCTGCGCCTTCCCCAGCCCCCTGGGGGGAGGTGGCCCTCCACCCGTGGCTCCAACGCTGCTGCCCCTGCAGTCAGGTGACATTTGGCTGGACACCAGAGGCTTCACCCCCTATGCAACCGACGCAGCGGCGGCAGGCTGTGCCGGACGGAGGGAGGAGCAGTGCCGAGGAGGAAGAGCCAGGAGGAGATTCGGCCGCGTCTTCCTGGCTGGGACAGACCCACCCAGATGGCACCAGGGACTGGACGCGGGGTGATCCCGCCACCCCGACGTCAGTTATGGAGCCGGTGGGATGGCTTAAAAGGCGGCCGCCGGCGGAAGGAAGGGGAGTGAGGGATGGCTCCCAAGGGGAGAGAGGTGGCTGGAGCACAGAGACCACAGACCTCTGACCGCGGGGAGTAGGAAGTTACCCAGGGTGCGGCCACGGTGGCCCGTGGGGTGGTGCATTGCGGGGATGAAACCCCCACCAACTGAACCTTGAGAGAAGCTCTTTCCCCCGGTTCTTAGGGCTCTGGGTCAGGGCTCGGAGTGGGGGCAGGCCCAAACCTCCCTAACCCCTGATCGGTCTCGGTACCGGCCAAGGACCCAGAAAGTATGTGTATCACGGCAAATGGTACTCAGAATCTGGTTACACGCCAGGAAGGGCGTTGCACTGGAAAAGTGTTAGGCATGGCCCCTCCCTGGATGGAGGGCGAGGGGCGCCGTGCTGATGCAGGCGGCCTGGGACGTGGGCGCTCCGTCACATCCTGGTTTGGCCCAGAGTGGCCGCCAGGGGAAACTGGGAAGGCTGGAGGCCAGCTAATTCGGACTAAGCGTCTACACAGAGCTTATTCCGAATTAGCTAATTTGAGTTTGGTGCTACTCCTTGTAGAATGAGGGTTACCAAACTTGAATTAAGCTCCCCGCTATTTCGAATTTAATTGGAAATAGCGGTTTGCTTGTGTAGATGCTATGGAAGTTAATTCGGAATAACGGCTGTTATTCTAAATTAACTTTGCAGTGTAGACATACCCCATGAGAAAAAGAAGTAGTTTCTACATTAGTTATATTGCCTGTGCTCCCCCAAAGAGAATTTGGCACCGGAAAAGTGAATATGCTGATTTCAAAAGATTAATACGGATAACGAAATGAAACTCAAACTTCTGCTCAAAGAAACTTAGTTTATGTTTAAAGCAATGTAACTAGAGAAACAGACAATATTTGTAGTGAATAAGTGATTACATGATCTTTCAAATAAATCTGCTTCTGGTCTCAAAAACTCTATGGTCTGATCCACAGTTGGTGTGGCAGAGCTCCACTGACTTAAGTGGAGCTAATCTGATTGGGTATGTCTACACTACAAAGTTAATAGAGTCTTTACATGCAAATCACTCTACTTTAATAGAGTCTATACATGCAAATCACTATTTCAAATTAAATTCGAAATAACGGGGCGCTTAATTCGAATTTGGTAAACCTCATTCTACGAGGAGTAATGCCAAATTCGAATTAGCTAATTCGAATTAAGTGCTGTATAGACACTTAATTTGAATTAGCTGGCCTCCAGCTCTTCCCAGGGTGCCCTGGAGGCCACTCTGGACACAACCAGGAAAACTTACTCTCCTCTCCCCCTGCCCCGGAGCTCTTAAAGGGGTAGAGCCAGGCTACTGGCCACATGCGAGCCAGAAGTCTGCCTGTAGAGAGCCAGCACTGCCAGCCCCGTCATGAGCCATGCAGGCAGTGCCAGTGCAGTGTCCCCCACCCAGTCCCCCAGCTCCCAGGGGCCAGCCAGGGGCCATAGACGGCACGCACCCACCTGGACTGGTGTGGAAATCATGGACCTCGTGGTTTGGGGGGAGGACCCCAATGTCCATGATCTCCTCGCCATGTGGAGGAACGCGGCTGTCTATCGCCGCAGAGCGGCCACCATGGCCAGAAAAGGCCACAGGCATAAGCAGCAGCAGGTGCGCCTCAAAATAAAAGAACTTCGGCAGGAGTACGCCAGGGCCACCAGGGGTGGCGCCAAAGCAGGGGCTGACACCTGCCCCTGCTTCCCCGCCCTCGACCACATCCTGGGGGGCGGGACGGTCCGCGCCACCCTGAGGGCCAGTGAGCCAGGACCAGGGGGGCCAGCACAGAGGGTGCCATGCCACTGGGACCCCTGAGCTGTCCCGGCACCAGAGTCAGCAGGGTCGTCAGGGGAGGCCACACCAGGTAAGTGCCATCACTGTCCCCTATCTGGACACTGCGGTCTTGGGGTGCGGTCTTGGGGAAGCTCCCACTCCTGGAGAGAGCCAGCGGCTCTGATGGTGCAGGGCACGGTCATCCTCACCTCACAGACAGGGGCTGGGCTTCACCCACTCTGTCCTCAGGGAGAACTGACCGCTTCCCTTTTTTCTCCACAGCCCCACCAGCTGAG